TTTTTTTCAGTGTACTTGACAAAATAACTATTACGTTCAACGTGTGTTATATTACATATATATTGTTGAGTGATAAATTATAATATTGATAAAATTATAATATGATGTAATCAATGTAATGTTACTGTTAATTAGTGTCTACCGGATTAGCAGTATTTTGTATCGATATAAAATGTGCTTTCGCTTTCTCGCATATCATACATCATAGGCGTATACATCACAAGACAGACTATACTTCACCACGCCCACGTGGTGACGACGTGCAAAGCGTTTAGCACCTTACCTGCACATTCCAGCTCTGTAGATTGGATCAAGGACTTGCGATTAGATAATAGTTTCTCCATCTTCATACTAATCCGCAATATGTGGTATCATATGTGATCTATAATGTCTATTAACATTCTAGTCTCACCATAATTATCTTTTCAGACTATAAATAAATTTGCTTTTATACTACATATTTCATAAAATAAAGTTACAATAATAGTATACTGATGTTCGAAAAAAACTAGATATTTTTAAACTTTTGTTTGGTCACTGCATATTAAATTATGACGTGGAAGCGAGAAGTTGTAATTTATATTTATAGCATAACTAACAATAAGTTTTATATATTGCACGTGTCAGATCTCTAATTGATGGAATAAACTTGCAATATGTACCAATAATTTTCTTTTTAGTTCGTGAATTAATAAATATTTAAAAAAAAAGGAATCTTTGTATATGCAGGGTGTGTCCCCAAAAAAGATTATAGACTTTAAGGGCATATTGAATAAGAAAAAATAAGTCAAAAAGTCCTAATAAACATATAGCTGCGAAAACGAACGGAACAAGATATCTCTTAATCTAATCTTTGTTTACAAACTTTGGACCGATTTCTGAGTAAATTTCTAAGGAGCAACTTAAACTAGTATGAGGTTGTGCCTCGTCCAAACAGTAAGTTTATCAGCTTTGGTTGAAATCGTTTCTTGTTATGTCTAATTCCGATATTTTATTCTTTAAACAAAGACTAAGATCTTGGCAACCATTCGTTTTCGAATTTATGTTTATTAGGATTTTTTGATTAATTTTTTTTATTGTTTTATATGCATTTAACAACTCTTTCTTGGTGACACTTTGTATATATAAAATCTATCATATGTAAAAAAAGTTATTTGTTCTTATTTGTATATAATATCAGAAAACAATAAATAAATTTCTTCCTTCTAACGTTATAATCAAACATGGCTGCCATAATAAAACGGAAGCTTTATATTTAAGTGCTTCTTCAGAAGATTTCTATTAAAAAATTAAGTTTTTCTTATCCTAATTGTGCTGTATCGCTAAGCTATCTTTTCTTACATACAGTTGTTACTCTGGAAACGAAGAAGAAGCGTTGGACGTTCGGTATGACGTAAACCAGTTACAGCTTCCACGGAAGAAACTGAAAACGGCCGAAAAAAGCGCCGTGCGACAAAAAAAGAGATAAATAGATAGAGAAACGGACATCAAGTGTGAACAAGTGTAAAATGTCCGAAAACGAAACAAAATCGGCTTCACCGATACCCACGGTTATGTGCGCGCAATGTTGTAGTAGCAATGATGGCGGTGGTGACAGTGGCGGTGGCGGCGGAAGTGGAGGTAGTGGTCTGTCGACCACACAATGCCCGGCCCTGCAGGTCACCTCGCGGATGCTGCGCTCACCGAGTCATGAGAGCGTCACCACCGACCTGTCACTCTTCAGCGTGTCGTCGATCGCAAGCGACCTGCGCAGCGCCAACAGGTTGGTCACTTTCAAATCCTACAGCGATGCGCAACTCACCGGACGGGGGCCCTCACCGAAACCAGATTCTCGACAAATTCAGGGCAACAGGTTCGTAAAACAATAGCTATCATGCTGAAGAGATACGGCTATTTTACTCTTGACTTAGTATTTATTTATTATGCATTTTATGTTAGGCCGGCAGACATTCCAGAGATTTTATGGTTTGAGGAGGAGAACGAACTAATTCGCAGCTGCGGTGTTCTGTCGTCAGCATTGGGATTGCGTAAGAGTTTTAGTACGAGCGATGTGTCGCAGCTTCCTAGCCCAGACGCAGCTGGAGCCGGTGGCCTACGAACGGCAGTATCCGCTCTAGCTCTCGACACTGCCCAGCGCAATACCCTGCTGCTGGAACACGCCAGACTCGATCATGCCTCGAGGTCCTGTAGCACCTGGGTTGCCGTGGGTGAACCCGTGGCCAGTACGTCCCAGCTTCCTAGCCCGCATGGAGGAACCGCGCAAGAACAGCAGCCTCAACAGCAGCAGCAGCAGCAGCAGCAGCAATCGCAGTCGCAGCAGCTCCAATCACAGCAGCAATCTTCTTCAAACGCTCAATCGGTGCCACAATTACCACCTCAACCACCGGCACCACCGCCACCACCTGTGCCCTTCACTGGAGCGGATCTCGTGAGGTCCGTCAATAAGAAAGTCCGACAGAACTACATACGCCGAAGGTTGGTAATTGATGAAGAAAATCTTCCTTTTTCTCTTGGTTCAAAATTCATGAATTTTTTTTTATACAACTTTTTGGAACCAAAAAAGAACGGAACGTTTGTACTTGTCTTCTGACAATTTAATTTCAATTCTTTTATCTAGAATTAGTTGTATATTTGTTATTTTTATATTTATATTTGGCTTTGTATCTAAGAAGGAAATATACGTAAGTGTCCTTTCCTGATTTTGATAAGTTTTGTGTGCTTTATAGTATAAATCAAGATAGGACATGTATCTTTTTATAAATATTCTTAGAGTGAAAAATGCTTCTTTGGAAAGGATAATTTTCATTTAAATTTTATTGAAATTAGAACGAGACATTTATGTAAGTTTTCTTGTAATTGAAGTGAACGTAACACTAAAAACGCGTTAAAGTTATTAAGTCACGCCGTTTCAGGTTTCAATACAAAAAATATGCAGAAATAGAGTGTTTCATTCATGTTCCATTAGGTTACTGACCACGTACCGCGCTTTGGAGCGCCTTTCGCAGAGTGAATTTAATCTAGATCAGCTAGAAGCGGCGGCTACCGCGGCACAGAGCTCTCATGGTGCCACTTTGCTGGTGCCCGGAACGGCCGGAGTTCCTGGTGCTTCCTTGATTGGACGGAAGGAGCGAAATCATGCGTTGACCATACGGGACGTTGAGAGAGAACGTGGAAATCAGCTGTCCAAGTATGAAAGGAACATGATGATCTTCAATTGGCTTCACACTTTGGACGACAGTGCAGTCGTAGATAGCGTCGAATAAGGGACAAGGAAACTTCTCCAACACCTACCGCAATTCCGACAACGTACGACCTATCGTGCCTAAGTCTCTTCCTCTTCGATATTCCTTTATCGAGGACGCTTCGTTGACGCTATATTGCCGCACCTCGGAGAATAATACGTAAGACTTCTTTACTGTTAACTATATTGAGTTATGACGTCTACAAAAAGATACAAATCTTTTTCTTGCACTACTCAACGATATAAATTAGTATTTTTTTTCGAATGTTTTACTTTCATTCGATAAAATAAAAAAATGTATAAAACTCCCCATTTAGTCCTTTATAAACTTTCACTAATAATGCCAGATATATTCAGGTTAATCTCTGCTGAAGTCAAAAGTTAGATGTTATTTATTTTATCCTTCCCTCGCGGTTAAAATATATTATGAAATGCATTTTACGTAATCAAGAGAAAGATGAGTTGACATTCAACAGAGATAAAGTGCCTATTTCAGGCGAAAATTAATAAGTGATCTGTAATTTAATCTATACTACGTTAACGAACGTTATCCTATTTTAACAAAAATAGATTAGGATTTACGACTGTCTATTCATAAATTGGAAAGAGAATCTGGCATTTAAGCTTATTTTATTGAATACAGATGGTAACATGTGTAAAAAGACTAATTTATTCTGATGTACATTGTGCGAGAATAATCGCTTCTATGAATATGATGTATAGTGTTATTTCATATCATAAGCGCAATCTCTCGCATCTGATGTCATAATCCAATATAGTTGCAATAATGAGCCAGAGAAGCTATGAGTTAAAGTAACTATTGCAAGACATCCGTCCCTCCTCGTCCAGTGACACCGATTGATGTCGCTTTAACGAGTGTATCCGAAGCATTTCGAATAAAGCGGAAATCCGTTTTATTGGCTACAAAAAGCATATATGCATGAAAAATATGGGCCTTATAGCGAATTCGGTCGCTTGATTATTCCATACTGATGCGCACTAAAGGCACCTAAAAATCTAATAAAGAAACATATACAGAAATATCTGATAATATAGATCAAGATATAAGAGACATGTACTTTTTCATAAGTACTTTTACGCGTGTTAAGAGGATGTAACATTCCCTTGAAAAAGATTGATTTTTATGTGTATATTGTTGAAGCAGTAAATGTGAAGATGTTTCAAAACAAAAGTTTTGTAATTTTAAAAGCACTTTTTTGAAGATGTATTCAAATTTTTTGAAAATATCTCTTTCAATGAAAACTGAGAAATTGTTATATCTCTTAATCTATACAACACGGAAGTTTGATGCAACATTGCAATATTGGAACAATCTGTGTTGTATAGGAAAAAAAGATGTTTCAAAATAAAAGTTTTGTAATTTTAAAAGCACTTTTTTGAAGATGTATTCAAATTTTTTGAAAATATTATCTCTCTCAATGAAAACTGAGAAATTGTTATATCTCTTAACCTATACAACACGGAAGTTTGATGCAACATTGCAATATTGGAACAATCTGTGTTGTATAGGAAAATACTCCGTTGTTATCGTTTTTGGAAAATGTTTAGACAAAATTAAAGCTTATTTAAAGATAAATTCAACTATATATAAAGAATTCTAAAATTTTCAGAAATGTTAGTGAATGATGAGACACTTTCATATATTTTTTCGTACGTACAAAAATATAACGTAAATGTATTTTGGCCGATAAAATATCCAATATATCATTGTGTTATTTAGCAGAAATTATTTCTATATGTTGGCTATTTCGTCGGTTAAAATGCTTATGTTCTGCCGTTGCACCGTATATCTCAAATACAATAGCCTTTATAGTGTGCATTAATGTGGAGTAGTGAAGACAACTAAATTGGTTATTAGATACAAATTGAAAAATCGACTTGGAAATATCCCTAAGTATAGTGCGAGGAGTATACGTGTGTACGTATACTTTTCGCATTTTAATGATCAGCTGATTATAGAAATCATTTATTCAGATTTTTTTCAATAATTTATTGATTAAATTGAAGAAATAATTTTTAAGATTAGAATTTCTACAATGACATGGTTACAATATTTCTGTATGTGATTTTATGAACTTTTTTTGTAGAACTCCTTTACAAATCAGTATTCGCAAATTCAGTTTGCCAAGAAATACTTAATAGTATGAACTTAGATACTAATTTTAATAATCAATTTAAAATAATTTAATAGTTAAATTCGTAGTTTGCATTGAAAAACAACGTAGAAATGAGAATGTATACATTTTGTGTTAAGTACTTAGACACATATCGATAAGAAATTTTTAATCAACGGAATGTAAATGTATCGAGAGATACCAAACTGTTGATTACATCGACAAAATTTTAACAATAATTGTAGACTGCGAACCCTACGACGTTTTACATTTCCAATTTGCAATTAGCATGGACGATATCCGAAATCGGAAATGATATTGTGTGTAAAGATTAATGATGCGAGACGCAATCCAGAGAACTCTACTTGTGAAACATAAACGATGATACGCATGATTTAGCGTATCTACTAGGATTTTTGTGATTGTATATTCGGTATGGAGAATTAAAGTCGTCTGAAATTTCGTTAATTCTAAGCGATATATGAAAAACTTGTTGCCAGGATAAAATGTTATTCGGAGTACATGCCTAAAAATATTTAATTCTATGCGTGTTCCTTATGAAAGTCTTAATTGTCCAGTGTAAACAGAAAATCCGGAACAATTATACTTCCTGCCTGACTAATGATAGATCACATCAGTATTATGCGTTGCGATCAGAGAGATACCAAAGTGTTTTTGGAATAGTAAATGGATGTGTGATCACAATTAATGTGCTTTTATGTATATTAAATGTTTTCCCTCTTCCAAATGTAATATTCGCTGACATCGTGATATTATCTGATGCAGAGTAATGAAACAAATATAAGATTTATTAAATATTCCATATCTATATATGTGCATAGACCTTGTCTTTGTAATTAAGTATAAGACATATGGAAGCAAGAAAAAAGTAAGTAAGGAAATTGCGACTGTTGGAGAAAAGAAGAGAATTTAAGTATTCCATCTTTATGGTATAATTTTTTACCAAATGCCTAGAGTGTGAAAAATCATATTACTGATAACCATTCACGTTAATCAAAGTTAAATATTAATTTAAATTTTAAAATATATAAAAAAGCTACATCTGTTATTTTTTATCAATTTTTAAGAATAGAATTCTTATACAAATTCAATTATTATTATAATGGAAAACAACAATAATCCATTAATAAAAAACCACAATTTAGGAAATTCGTTTTTCATTTGAGCTACGTTTATTTTTATTAATAGAGTAGACAAAGGTAGCTACAAAGGTGATCGATTACAGAAATTAAATAGTCAGTTTCAATAAAATATATTTTCTAAGTACAGTACAAATATAGCAAAAAAGCAAATTAATTTATATAAATAATCAGTTTTTTTAGAACATAATTATTAACATATACACTTCCCAAGTTTTCAGTATATTGATTAAACAAATGTTTCTTATATTGCAGCCCACTTTTTGCAATCTATAATTTGCAACGGAATTCTGTTTATAATTTAAAACTTTACACATATCTTACAATACATTAAACTTTTAAAGAATTATAATACACACATATATAGAAAATACATATATAGAAAATACACGCACCCGCACACGCACACACACAAAAATGTATAACAAATAAAATAAAAATACAATATTCTATCTTGCGTTCTAATACAAGTTATATATTGTCTCTATACAATCGTGGGCTTACAAAAATATATTTTTAGTGAATGTAACCAAAATGCTTACATATAGCATTAGATATCTTTAATCTCATTTATCTAATAGGTTTGGCAGAATGGTAGGTTTCATTATCTTTAATGTAAATTAGATACAGTCATGTGCGGAAATGTGCTTCATACACGCATGTGAAAAAGAAAAATTAAATTATTTCTGCAAATTTTAACTTTTATAAAAGAAATAATCTCATTTCAAAAACTAGATTTAAATAAATGTCTTCTTTTTTTATAACTTTTCAAGAAAATATCCTTTTCTAAATTTGAGATTATTTTGGATCTATAAAAATCTTACTTTTATTTACAACTTTCTTCTGTTCAAAATAATCCCAGAAATAATTGTTTAAAACAAAATATTTCTTTATGCATACATATAAATGCATGCATACTCATATGAATAATATTATTCTTTAGTTGTTTAAATCCAAATTTTAAAGTAATAACATAATTTAATAAACGAAATAAATGGATAAGAAAGTATTTTATTGGTGAAAATGCTTTAATGAACTAGTGGAATAATAAATAATTAGTTGATACTCAAAAATTACAATAATATTTTCAGATGTATACTTTATAGCAGACCTTGTCTTTTGAGATCTTCGTATGTTTTACGATTGACTACATTGCCAAGCGAATCTTCAAATTCTTCTTCTTGCTCTGGTTGCCAACGCTCGGCTTGTTTCTGCGCTTTCAGTTTTTCCCACAGAGCAAGAGCGTCTTCAATCTGAGTGACATTAGCAAAGTGCGCTGTATTCGGAATGCCAAGACAACGCATGCCATGTGCATGTCTCCATTCCGCAAAATGTCTTTGGAATGCTTTCGGGCCTTTATACGTAAAGTTTCCACAAATCTCACAGTTGTAACTGATATTTAAGCCGTGCAGCTTGTACAACCAGTAAGGTATAGGCTTTCCGTCCCAACCCAGTGGTAAATTCTTTGGATTGTATGGAACTTCGTTATCGTCTTCTTCTTCCGATTCGCTTGCACTTGCTTCTGCATCAGAATCTCCTCTTTCACCCTCGGTTCTCGCTTGTTTCCTTTGTACATTTTCTTTCGTAGCCACTCGTTGACTGGATACTAATTCAGCGAGCTTATATACATGAGCCTCGAACCGTGCAATTTCCTTTTGCTTCTCAGAATCTTTGCCTTTAGCTGATTTGCCCTTTCTATTCTTGGCTAATAGGTTGGGATCTAAGGAGGCTTCACCTTTTGTGCTGAAAAGTCTTTGCGCTCGTTCTTCCAGAGTACCTCCACATTTGAGTCCTAGCGCCATCAACGCTGATTTTAATCTATCCAAACCAAGAGACGCAAGTTCTTCCCAAGATGAAAATGCAGACAGTTCCAAATGTGCTCCAACATGAGCCAGAGCACTTCCAGTTTCTTTAGGCCAACCAGGAAAAGTATTCTTTTCCCACTGAATTTGAAAATCCTTGTTAGCTTCTTCAATCTCTGTACTTATGTCGAGCAGAGGTCTGACTCTGTTCAGATAATCTGTCAGGTATCCTAAGAGAGACTCGGCGTATCTCTGATACTCTGCATTCTTTCTTTCTCTAGGAATATCGAATAAGTGATCAAAAGTCGACAAGTAAGTTATATAATCTATCTTTTCTATCCCTTTAAGATTAATATATTTCTGATAACACTCGTGAAGATCGAGGTATTTTCCATAACCTTCTTCATCTGTAAACTCGACGAGATTGGACAATTCTTCGGTTGGGTTTTCTCTCATCTTAGCCAACTCCTCGAATTCAACGGACATAGGAACACTGATCTCATTAGGATGTCGTCGATAGAATTCTTTTATGGACTTCAAACGTGAGTAAAATTCTGAGAATTCATTTGGACCGGAAAGTGCTTGAACCTAAAATGATAAACGAGGAGTTAGAACTTATTTTTGAACTTATGAATCGATAGTTGTTAGAAAGGTTAGAAATCATTTAAAATTAAAGGTTTTAATTTTCATCTATAAGCTGTAATATTTAAAATCTTAAACCAACGTACCTCTTCCTTTCTTTGTCCATCCTTATCTTCATACAGATCTTGCAAATGCATTGTACTATCCATAAACTGATCCAGCGACATTTTCAAACGATGCTCCGAATTGATGTTCTCGCGATGTCCTGCTTTTTTATGCAACATCTCTTTCACCATCGCGTCCATCAACCGCTCTCTTTCTTCATGATATCGTCGTTGTTGCTCCAATATTGTTTCCATTTCTACTTTTAAATTCAATCTATTTTGAT